ACTAGAAAAGGCCATCTTTTAATAAAATATTTACTTGTATTAAATTTGTTTGCATTATATTTTTATTGAATAAGTATTAAAAATTTGTTCTATCAATATTACTATTTCCTTTGTTTCTTCCGATAAAATTTTACGCTCGATTGTTTGGCTATAACATTTTAATATAAAAAATAATAAAGTATCTAGTATCTGTGTTATGTGTCCGATAGTAACGGCGCGCAGTACAAGGTGGGAAAAGACAGTATATGAATTCACTTATTGTTAGTAATTTAATGGCCACCACCTATGCCAGGTCCTAAATGGCGTTTAAGTTTCAATTTGAAATATAACTTTATCCTTTATATTTGTTTATCATTTAAAAAATTTCGCAACTCCTTATAAAAGTTACTAGATTGGACGCATAATAGCGAACGTTCCTCAGACTCTCCTCTGAGGGTCTCCAGTAATAATCGGCTCTTAGCGCCGATGCGACTAGTGGTCTCGATCGACACGCGAGTGATGCGTTTGTATCTATCGTCAGGTTTTTCCGGCTCCGGCATGAGACAAAGCTTGGAATTGTTTCCGCTTTCTTAAGCGCTTTCACGCGGCGCGCGATCGAACGAGGGAAGAAATCGCAATTAGCAATGCGAGCTTGTCCGACGATGAAACATTTCTTCTTCTCTATCATTCCGACCGTGATTCTCCCGCGACATTCACTCGGCGTCACGAGGTGGAATTGCTGACCGGTCACTTCGCTTTCACTGCGCCTGCTGATTTTCAGAAGTGCCCAACGACGGGGATAAACAGCGTGAGAATTAATGTAAATCGCGCGAAAGAAAATTGTTACGCTTCGGCGATACACTGTTTGCTCTTGAAACTGCGCTTCACATTAATTTACATCGCATCAATAAAATTACGGCGCTCGCGGCCAGCCTTTGAATCCACGTGTCTCCGGCACGGAGGTGAAACTCCACAAAAGCGCCGCGGAATGATCCCGGAAACTGCACCGGCACGCTATGCGGATTCGTGCCGAAACTCGAACAGTGTTTCGCGCGATTCCCGTTGATAACGTTATCAGAGATAACGGAAGAGCGAGACCGACGAGAGCAACGTGTTACGTAACATTTGAAGCGGGATATGATTCTATTACATAGTTACGTCATCGTCCGATCGGTGCTCGATCTCTCTGACTAACGGGGGGAAGAATGTATTGACAGTTATCGCGAGTGACGGACGTTATGGTTCACAGAATTTGCGATACGTGGACATGAGCGGGCAATTGTTATCGCGAGTGCTCGGGTTACGATTTTTTTTTCACTTAGACAGGTGTGTGTGTGTGTGTGTGTGTGTGTGTGTGTGTGTGTGTGTGTGTGTGTGTGTGTGTGTGTGTGTGTGTGTGTGTGTGCGTGTGCGTGCGTGTGTGCGTGTGTGTGTGCGCGCGCGCGCGCATGCGAAGCCGTAATTAAAATATTAGTGCGTTATTCTTATGCGCAACACGGAAACTTTGATTACATTCCGTGTCGTGTAAATAAAACGAGCGCAACGAGTACATACGTCACGGGATTCCGTTACGAGTGTCGAAAGTGTGATTTTTCTCAGTCAGCAAAACTCGGGTTCTTCAACCAACCATCGCAACACTTGATCCTTTTATAGTCAACTGTTTTTAAGCTCTTGTTTTTTTTAATAGAGTGCATGCTGAACCATCGAGTCTCTTCAATTTCGCAAATGGAGACTTGCATGATCCAAGGACAAGGTGAAATTTTTAACTTGGACCAAGTTCTAGCATCGTGGACACAGGCCTTAAGCGACGTAATTCTAGGAACGTCACTCTTTCTACTTCCCTCATATTTCTTATATCCTTCGTTTCCAAGCGACGTCCCCTTTGTCGAATTTAATCGAACAATTGAATCAGTGAGTGCAGAAACCACAACGAGTCCAAACTGGACTTTATTGCGGGCTACGCATGTAATACGTGAAGAGGAACCACATTAGTCCGTGGCTCCAGTAAATATAGAGCAGCTAGAAAGCTCCAGAGAAATCCTAAGGTTTTGCAAGCTGCACAGTTTTATTGCCTTTCCTGTAAAATTTGAAAAATGAGACTCGTGTGTTTTCTTCACTCGTCGATTCGATAATTGCAGCCATAGGCGATTGGTCTGTCAGTCTACAATTGGCAGTGACAAATGACTTTTGAATGCGCTGCCTTGCACCGGCGTGTCAAAATAGATACAAAAAAGAAGAGCGAATTACTCGGCGAGCGACGCCAACTCTGCTCTCGTCATCTTCGTCAGAGGAAAGTTTCGGCGTTGAACCGATTCGCAATTTCTCTTACGAAATAATCAGTGAACTCTGTATGTGTTTATTTTCCCCCTCGGGCACTATCTGTGCATTCTTGCCACATGAGTCAATTCTGAGCCGGCAAAATGCGCGGAACATTCAGATAAATAAACTTCGCTACACGGATATACGACTTCGGTAATGTCACGAGAATTGCAGAGATAAGAATTTTGTGAGCAACGGTGTATGAATTCACATTAAGGCCCGAACACGCGGAAAAACTTAAAGAGTAAAACTTAAGGTGGCTCCTGCGTAAACCGACCAAAAGAAGAAAAAAATTGAAATTTAAGTATGTTGTAGTTGTAAATTTTATCTATCAGTACGCGAAATTTCAGACCCGGTCGCCGATGAAATAAAATAAAGAAAAAATTATTAAAGTTGTATCTTTAACATTCCAGCAAACGCCAAGTAACAGCATAGATTTATATTATTAGGCGACCTACATCTTGCCCGGACCTAACAATTGATTTGGCGTTCTCGTTTCCTATTCGACTTTGTGTCGAACTTCTATTTGACATAAGCATTCTCATGTGGCCGCTCAAGAATAGACTCTACGTTTACCAGCATTATATGTAACATTACACTTCGCCACCCTATACTTTGACTGCTGCAACGGTGCATCATTCTCCGTAATGGCCACTTTAAACAAGCGATCCGTAGTCGCGTGAGCGTTCTCTAACGAGCTCGAACAAAAGCTCGAACGAGCCGCAACAATCTATTATCCCAAACATTCCTAGTACCCGCGAGAAAACACATGCATTATCCTCGGCTCGAAAGCAAACGCAATGCCGATATGGGGGCATATTTGCTACAACCTTCACATATCACGCAAGCAAGCGTACAAGTAAAGAGCGGCTCCGACTTCTGAAGTCCTGTGCATTGAGTTGTAAAGTAGAGACAATCCCAGAGATTGACTTTTTTCATCAAAGATACAGATACAAGATAAATTTTCACTGGATTCAGTGAAGAATTACGGATGCAAGTTGCATTTCTTGGACCAAGTTCTAGCATCGCGGACACGGGCCTTTAAATTCCTTTGAGATTGAGATTGAGACATAGATGTACTCAATTATTTTTCCGGAGAAAGATACAGTAGCTGTATCTGCAATTATATCTGTATTGGTATCTTAAAAAAGGTATCAAGCTCTGGACAATCCTTTTCATTATTCCTTAACTAGTAGGCGAAATGCTAGGCAATTAGCCAGCAGATTCGGGCAAAGCGTTGCGGCAGATTGGCGCCGATTGCTTGTCGACACAAAGATTCAACGGTAAATCAATAGGTGTAAAAATAGATCTCGCAAAGATCCACTGAAGAAGTTTGTTGACAGAACATTAGGCGGAACATAACGGGATCTGTTGGGCAAATATGGCGACAGACTGATTGCAGAAAGTAGGCGAGACCCGGCTTTTCACAAGCGAGCTCTTAAACGACACATTCCATTCGAATGAAATGTACGTTAGGAAAAGACTCCGCGGTGAATCTACCGCCATATTCATGTACAAGACCCCGTTGTAGTTCTGCTGGTGGCTCGCCAACAAAATTTAAGGCACTGCAAGATCCATCTTCGGCAGGTTTGCCTGCCTGGGTATTATAATACAATAACGATCTCTCCTACAAATGACGAGCAACAATTTTCAAGCGCAAAAGTATAAAATACTTTTAAGTCCAAGTTCTAGGAGTCAATTCTGCATCTTACAATACAGTGAAAATGCTAAAAGTGAGCGGCTTTGGCTCTTCCTAAGGGGACGGTTAGAAAGAGAAGCTATTCACTTTGAGCATTTTCACTATAGTGTAAGGTACAGAATTGACCCCCAGTTCTTGGATCATGGACACGAGGGAGTCAATTCTGTTTCTCGCACTATAGTGAAAATGGTACAACAGCTTTGTCGCTTTGTCTCTCTCTTTCTCTCATCATCTCCGAGACAAAGTCCGCTGACTTTTAACATTTTCACTATATTCTAAGATACAGAATTGACCCCAAGGGGTTTAGGGCCCGTTTCGCCATCTCCAATTAATTTAATCAGCCGATTAAATTTCAGCGTTCCATTGAAAGTGACCACTCGCGCTTATCGTTAATAGAGCTAGAATTAACCGGTTATAACGGCTCACACTTAATCGGCCGATTAAATTAATTGGAAATGGTGAAACCGGTCCTTATCCACGAATCAATGCCCTCTCATTCTTTGATGGACAAACAAACAACTCTCGCTCCACCGGTGTACAATTTGGCGCAAGGATCGTTTTCCTTTCAATCTATTCACTCGCGTCGCGACGCACGATCCGAGATATTCGCTAACGTAGGCGCGTCTCAAGGCTGGTCTACAATACATGGAGTAAGCTGGAGTAAGCTGGAGTAAGGAGCTCCTTACTCCAGCTTACTCCAGCTTACTCCATGTATTGTAGACCAGCCTTTACGCCCACCCGCGCCGGGGAGCGTCATCCGGCGTCCGGCCGGCGCCGACCTAACCTCACTTTCGCGGACGCCGGAGCACACGACGGCCCCTGGGGCCCGGTTTTTTATCTTACAGTTAACTGTCAATAGGAAGTTAGTCGACTCTCCATCTTTCTCTGTGTTACCTATCTAAGACGAGACCAAGAGTTGACCTCCGGTCAGCGATTAACCATAAAACGAAAAACCGGCGCTGCGGACCCGGCCGGGAGAGACAAATTTTGCGAGAGGACTCACGGCTCGGCGATGGCCGGCGCGATCTTGAGCACCGTCGACAGGAAGGACTGGTCCTTGCAGACGAGGAGGGGTCGCTGTGGCGCGCTGTTCACGTTCAGTATCCTGAACAGGATGCACAGGATCACGGCGAACAGGGCGAGCAGTGCCGTGGACATCTTTCGTCTCGCCGCCTGAAACAAGCGACATTCCCGCTCGCCTTTAACTCACGATCTCGCTTCTCCGATAAAAAAAAAGTTCGCGCTTTGTCTCCCATTTTCACGGCGATATCGCGCGCGTTATCTTTCTTCGGTATCGGCGTAATCTCTCACCTCTTCCTGGAGAGGGAGATCAGCTGTCCACCCTTTGAGATTCTCGAGGCCGGTTGGGACGGTGATTCATGCGATTGGCGCTTCGTGACCTGCGAGCAGAAGCGACGCCGTTTTTATTCCGCTCACGGGGAGGCTGCCGGTGATCGGCTGCAGAAGCGCGCGACGTCCCCGCGCGAGTCGAGGACGCATCCCGGCCTCCGCGAAGCGTAGCGGCTACGCCGTAGCCGCGCCGGCGAGCAGCGACGCGCGGATTGATCGTTACATCGTTTCGCGCACGGCCCGATCCGTCACACGTCCGCGCGCCGTCAGCCGGCGAGTTATATCGACGATAAGGAGGATCGATAGCGGCGGACGATAACGCGCGTTTCTTCAATCAATCGGAGCGAGACGTGTAGTACACGTTTTTATATTCGTTCGAGCAGTTGCGGTGCGAAAGAGAGCCCGATTTTTAAGTCTGAGACTCAATCGTGAAAAGTGAAACTTTTCATTGACAAAATATTACCCAGGTAGCATATATTGGTTTCATATACGTTTTTTAAACGTATATATAGTTTCATAACCGTAAAGAACCATTGAGAAACGTTTGAGCGGAAACGTTTTTGAAACCACGATTTAAGAAACGTATTCTTTTACGTTTCTACAGTTAATCTTTCAATATGCGCATGTGGGTGTATTTTACGCTTCAGGCTTCTTCTTTTCCTAGATTTCACATAGAAGCAAATTTTTTGTGCTTCCTTCTTTAGCGTTATTGAAAAACTATTAAAATTTCAACCTATTTATAAAATATTTATTTTGTGTAGCACGTGTTGATTTTTACACGTTTCATAAACGTTTACTAAACATTAGATACGTTTAAGAAATATATATGAAACGTATATGAGCCATCACGTACTACCTGGATAGGTTTATATACTTATAGTAAATAATTGAAAAAAATATATATGAAAAAATATATGACAAAAAACTACACTGCTCAAAAGAAATATGGCATAGAAAAATTTTATGCAAAAATTGGACAACTTCGACTGACGGTAACTCGGCGAAAAATCATCGTAAAATTATGTTCTTTTTTTTTAAATTAAAGCTTGAAATCTCTACTTTAAGATACTGTAGTTCGATTTTAGGTGTGATGCATCCCTATCACTGGGACGCCTTAAATGTGAGGGCAAGTTTGTTATATTGAAAATTACAAAGTTTGACGGAGTGCATGGACTTGCTACATTATAAGATCGTCCATTGTACATCCATACAAAGATATACACTGGATCATAAACGGATGTGCAGTAGACATCCAGTAGACGTCCAGTAGAGAGGCTTCTGTCGCCGGGGAATTGAAAATCCAAGATCAAGATGGGAAGAGGCGAACAACGACGGCGAAGATAGATTCTCGATCGAAATTGGGCTCTCAATACCTCTTCGTTTCGCGGCAAAAGTATCTCCGTAGAACCGCATCACTCGTGGGATGCGACACGTGACCCAAATAGGCGAACATCGAACGCTTCGCGGGATTAACGCGCGGAATGAATGGGACGTGCGCGTTTTTCTCTCCGGCGAGTCGTGACGGCGGCGCACGTGACTGATGGTTCAACGATCGCCGCTCAGATCGCCGGCGCGGAGGCCCCGGCATTCGGGACGTCTCTCTTTTTTTCCCTCCATATCTTTTCGTCCGTCCTATCGCGGAGTAACGGTTGTTTCGCCGCTCACCAAGAAAATCCGCTTCATTATTCCGAAAGGACCCGTCTCGAAGTACTCGGGAGTCGGAGTGTGCGGCATTAATTAAGCCCTCTTTCCTAACCGGCCCCAGCGAGAAATGACTCGTCGACCGAAGTCGAAGCAATGTCGGATCGACACCGTCAAACTGATGTCGAATCATTTCTCCCTGGGGACGCAACGCTGGCGGTGAATTAATTAACGTTTCCTTAATGTTTCCCTTCTCCAGTCTCGGCTTCGCCAGCAAAATCAGCGGCCGTCTCGGATAGCAACGACGAACAGAGCGGCAGATACATTTCTTCCCTCCCAGATCGCGGCAGTCAAAGAATCGAGAGACACGCGAGTCAAATCTGGCCTGTCTTTTTCGAGTTTTCTCGCCGAAGGGAGTGTTTACAGCGATCGCGTAGGGGACCGCCGGCGAGACGAGCTGCACCGTCTCGGGGGAGATTCTGAAGCGAAACCGCGTCCCGTCTCGGGCGCACACGCAGCCTTTCGCACCGTCGGACGACTCGACAGGACGGGAAAGCGGGAGAGACGTCGGACCGAAGGAGTCGATCGCATTCCTGCTCACCAGATGACGATCCAGTCGACGAATTGCCGAAGATCCCGAGTCCCGATACGCGCTCGGGATATACGCGATACTTCCCGTGCGCGGCCCCCAGCACGCTCGACTCGCCGGCGCGGCGCCTCGCGAGAGCCGGAGCAGTTAGCGCGCGGACACGTGCCGCACATCCGCTCGCGTCGGATCCTGCCGGGCGACTGACAGCCGACATCTGCGCGCGCCCGCGAGGCCGCGACAAGCACGCCGCGCGCCGCCGCGCCGGAGCGGAGCGGCTCCGCCGGAGCCAGCTCGATTCTTGAATTCGTTCGAAGAGGAGAAACCAGGGCTGGGAAGTGACTCGTTACTTGTAACCAAGTTACAGCTACGGTTACTTCTGTGTGGTAACTCTAACTTAACTTCGTTACTTTCTCTCCGTCTGTAACTTAACTCAGTTACATTAAGAGTTACTTTGTATATGTTTTAAAACTCGGCAGATTTCACCGGGCCTTGCATTTGCGCATAAACGCGCCTTTATCGGCGCTTTACAATTCAAATGTAGACTTGATATTTTCATTTTCATCGCAAGAACCCAGATAGCACAAGACACTCCTACGAGCATTTTGAGAATATTCCTCAGGAATGTTTGGAATATTTCACAGGTCATTCTTATATATTTCCCAGGCAGCACATGTTAGTTTAAAATACGTTTCTTAGACGTGTCTAATGTCTAAGAAACGTTAAGTACCATAAAGAATAAATTTTCGAGGCTATTAACTTTAACTTAACTTAGTTGAAAAAAAGATAACTCACCCAACCTTGCGTACAAAACTTATAACGAGACGAAAAGATATAACGACGTGAAAAATGTTGACTACCTGCCGGAACGTGGCACGCGTCGCTCAACGTCAGAAAAGAACGACAAAGCGATTTTAAAGATCTTTGCGAAGAATTCTGGATGTTCTCTACGAAGAGCCAATTAAGTTACTTTTGTCGAAGAAGAGCGTAGAAGTAAGCTTGAACACTATTCGACGTCGATTACGCGATTGTAAACAATTTTCTTTTCTTTTTTTCAGAAGATACGATCGACACGCTCTTGTGGAACAGAGTGTATATTACACTGCAATCTTACTACAATGTTATCTAATAACATTTCTAAAAGTGAATATTTTACCGATGCTATAATCATGCAGCAACATTTCATAACGTTTATGCAATGTTACAATCTTACCATAAAATGTTATCACACTGCTCCTGTAATCTTGCTGTACGGATAGCGGCCTCAATCAAACATCGATTAATTCAATCGACAATTAACTTGTCACGTAACATGTATGTACATACAGGGTGTACTAAAACCACCGGATATCCTTTTGATCGCAGATTCCTTAGAAAATTTCAAGAGGAAAATTCAAATAAAAAAATGTCGAGGCTATGATAGTTTTTAAATAATAAGCGATTATATTTCACAAATGACAGGTCTGAGATTTCGCGCGCTCAGGCACGGCGACACGACGAGTGATAAAAGTGTTCCTCTGTGTTTCGCGAGCGAGCGAGAACCAAAGTCACCGTTTAACGGGACAAAAAATATTTGAGAAGACGATGATCCGGTTATTTTGAAAACTTGAGGATAAAGAGAGGCAGGAGACTAGATTGAATCTAACTGAAAATTCCAAGTTCACTCAGAATATCGGAGATCGACTAAATCGAAGGGTATCAATCTGATCAAGATGCTCATCATAGTGAACCCCTGCCTTTTATTAATAAGACGTTACACAAAGTTAACAAAAGAAATGGTTAAAGATAACAAGAGGAACAATAAATTCGAGAATGAATCGTTAAGTCTGTTGTGAAAGTTATCGCTATGCTAAAAAGGGCGATATTCGTAAGAACATCTTTATCACTTGTCGTATCGCCGTACCTGAGCGCGCGAAATCTCAGGCCTGTCATTTGTGAAATGTAATCGCTTATTATTTAAAAACTATTATAGCCTCGACATTTTTGTATTAGAATTTTTGTCTTGAAAGTTTCTAAAGAATTTATGATTAAAAGGATATCCGGTGGTTTTAGTACACCCTGTATATTATCTTGCCAACATGGATGGAATCGTTAATTTCATGTTTAATACGTGAAAGGAAAAAGTATGAATGACGAATTACATAATTAGAAATTTTGCTGCAATTCCGGTTGAATTAATTACCGATTATGTTAGCCAGAGTTTCGTCGTAATCATTCTTATAATTATACACGTATACATACACTCTGCTCCACAATTGCGTGTCGATCGTATCTTCTGAAAAAAAAGAAAATTGTTCAAAATCGCGTAATCGACGTCGAATAGTGTTCAGGCTTACTTCTACACTCTTTTTCGACAAAAGTAACTTGGCACTTCGTAGAGAACATCCAGAATTCTTCGCAAAGATCTTTAAAATCGCGTACCACGTCGTTATATCTTTTCACCCACTTTTTAACGATCTGGATTAAAATCGTACTCGTGATTCTCCATGTTCCCCAATTCTTTTAAAGCTCATGGACACTCAACGTTGAATGTCATTTGTCAAAGTAAATTCAATGAGAGACACAAGTACGCTTTATTTCAGAGGAATTTAAATAGACTAAAGTATTCAAACATCATGCTTTGAATGTCTAGCGCGAGTATGAAGACTGATCTCTATACACGACGTTACTTGTCATTTTGACGTCCAAATGGCATTTCTGACATTTCGACATACATATGTCGTTCTTTCAGTAATCTAAAACTTCAATAAAAGATGTTCTACGTTAAATTTTTTCTTTTAAAATATAACGGGAACATTTTAAGTTCTATTTTTATTACAATATATTTTTGTTATCGAAAAATGACATTTCTGACGATATTTCGACGTCAAAAAGACGACAAGTGACGTCAGCTACCTGGACACGGGTGCGAGAAAGATTTCTAGCAATAGCGTTCGGATTGTTGCCTCGACGAAGCTCGGGATCTTGTCGAAAACAATCACGTAGCAACATGCGCGTAACAATTCCTTGTAAATTTCATTTCGAGGTCTGCGACAGATATACGACGGACAGCGCGTGTTCAAAGGCCAAGAAATAATCGCAAATTCGGAGGTCGGCGACTCAAGGCTTTCGTGCAGTGAAAATATAAAATTTGCTAATCGAAACTCTCCTCGCATGATCGCCGCCCAATAAATTCAAAATGAATACAAATCTGTTTTAACTTTCGTGAAGATTTTTCTTATACTGAGAAAAATTTTCATCGGATAAACTAATTAGTGTTTTCGATGGGTAATTTTTCCGATTACGTTTTTCGATTAAATTATAGATACATCCGATAAAATTCAGTCGCAAATTTGACTGAAAAACCGATTGCATTTTTCATCAGATGTACAATTTAATCGAATATATCCGTTTATTATTATGTAATAGAATTATTCGATTATATTTAATCGGACATTTTTCTCAGTGTGTCTCTCGATAAAATTTTGTTCGGTAATTGACTCAAAAATTAGCTTTCTTGTGCAAAAGCTCGTTAAAGATAACCTTCCGAATGTAGGTGATGCTTTTTGTAAGATACCTTCCTGTTTACTTTCTGAGATAACCGATTCTTTTCCGGAATCTGAGTGAAATAACCCGGAAACACAACCGAGTAAGAAAAATTAAAAAATGGATTACGTAAGAATCAAGCTCTCTCGCAGCTGAATATCCTGTTTGCGACAAAAAGTTGACATTCGAGTTTCTTGTGAAGTCTTGCAACGTCCTGTTTTGTCTCGATTAATTCTGGAGAGTCAGCTAGTAATTAAATGACCGATGAACATATATGTTCAATATATTGATATAATTGTTACAAGTTGATATGGCAACGCGAGTGTTTATTCCGGGTTGGGTCTGGCTTTCTATCACGAGAATGCTGGAGACTGCGACGACAAATGCAGTAAAAGGAAATTAATTAAACGAATTTGAACATTGGTTAGTAAACAGTGAACAATGTATACGTACAAAACGTGAACTTTTGTTATCACTAAATTATCGCGACATGTGGTATTGATTTGTTTCTCAAGGTATTAATTGAATAACAATGGCAACGGGTGGTAAAGGGAAAAAGAAGGCCGGTGCGAAGACGAACGGAAAAAATAATGGGAAAGGTAGTAAAGGTGGCAATGGCAAAGGATCGAAGAAATCAAGAAGAAGTGGTAGGAAGGCACGATTCGCCATGGACATCTTTAACGAGGAGGTGATGGAAAACGCTTATTATACATGCCACAACATCATGGACGTGCTGAAGTGCCGAGGTTTCCCGTGGCCAGAGGCTCAGAAAAAAAAGGGAAAGAAGAAGAAATAGCCGAAATAACGTGCGAACAACAGAAAAAATATATATACCTGTAAAACATATTAAAGTTGCATAGCTAAAAAAATATAGAAGAAATAGTACCAGTGTTTTGAATTTTTTTATACGTCTAGTATACGAATAGATGAAAATGTCTACCAAGTTTCAACAGTCTTTACTACGTTTTAAAGAAATGAAATATAACTTGAGATATTCGTGCTGTCGGCACGAATTTTTTAGTTTTTAAAATATTTGACGTTAAGAATTGAAATCAGGGTATTTTCACTATCAAAAGTTTAGGCTCACAAGTGGAAAAAAATCGCAAATAATGCAGGAAAGAACATTTATAAAGTGAAAAATACCTTTGTTGGAGTACCAATAAGACTCCAACTATCGTTCAAGTTTCTTGCATCTAGATTTACTATGCGTTAAGAGTAGATATTCAAGTATTTCCAATTTCATGCACTTTTGTCTAAGATTGTACATCCAATACTTCCTTAAGCAACTGGCCAGTACTAATTATAAGATGAATGGAAAAAATCACGGAAAGGTGGTTGTGGTGGCAAAAGCAAAGGATCGAAGAGATAAAAAAAGAAGCGATAGAAAAGCCCGATTCGCTAGAGATATATTTAACAAAGAGGCGATGGAAAATGCTTATTGTACATGTCATATCATGAAGGCGCTGAAGTGTCGCGGTTTCTCGTGGCCAGAGAAATGGCTCAGAAGTGGAAAAAATAAATAGTACGAATATCCGAAAAAATATTTTTTTAAAACGTATTAAAATAGATTTAATGGGTTTCAAATATCTATTTCTATAAAGTACGTACTAAGTAAATTATCACGCAACGGTATGTTCTATCTTAATCATATATCAACACTTAACGTTACACAAGTATATTAAATTAACATTAATTCAGTTAATACAAAATAAAAATATGCAAGTTGTACTTTCTATTGTCTGTCTTTTATAAAAATATAAAACTTAATTCTTGAACATACTCGCTTTACGAGGAGAACAGAATATCCTCAAACTGGCGATAAATATTTTGCAAACTAGTACAGAAACAGTTTACGATGCCTCAGCATTTTCGTTTTAAAATGCTACAAAAAAATTTGTTCTTAAAATCCTTATCACCAGTTTAGGAATACGCTGTACACACACAACTAAAAATAGTCTTTGTAAACCATTGCAGATAAATAGTTTATGATGCCTTAGCATTTTCGTCTTATCTTCGTTTTGAAATACTACAAAAAAAACTTATTCTTAAAATCCTTATCACCAGTTTAGGAACGCGCTGTGGACATACAACTAAAAATAAATCTCTATAACGCAGTGAGAAAGTTTACGCCTTCGAATTTACATAAGGCACAGGATATCGATCTTTATGACATCTTTTTCTTCTATTGATCAGTTGACGATGCGAGATAGTTGCAATAACTCTCTACATCGAACTCGAACTCTTCTTCATCCGCTTTAATTGATCCGTTAAAGACACAATGGACCGTCACAGTCTCGGAGTACGTCAAGTCAGGCAAAAGCTGTTAGAATAACAAAATTAATAAAAAATATCGCATAACGGGGGGGATTATTATCGTTGTTGTTATGCTTACTTTCGGCGTGAGCAAAAAGTATTGGGAGCTGCCTGGCCTTCCTGTTATTTTGACCAGTAAATCAAAGACCCGTCTTTCGTTCACTGCATCCATTCCCTAATGAAATTACCAAGGAAAATTCAGGTTACAGAAAACAGCAGATTATAACATATAAATGTGAGACATTTGATATTGTTGATGTGTAATAACCTGATTAATCTCATCCACACAGCGAAATGGTACGCGCGACAATTCTTGCAGCGCTATCATGTAAATAGCAGTAGTCACCGTTCTTTCACCGCCGCTCTGAAAGTGTCTTGTTAATTCTTGCAGTTCGTCTGCATCTCGGAATTTTACTTTAATCTTTAGGCCGTACTTATCAAAATCCAGCTAAAAATATATTAACAAATTAATAAAATTGGTATGGCTCAAAATGAGCTAAACACAAAAATATATTGTTGTTGTTAAGAACAATGAAAAAACTTCATTTTACGTGAATGCGTTTACACTTACGACATTATCATCATGCGAGAGTGTAACCTCGCCAGCACAGTCCATCGCGGTAAAGTAAGAACTAAAATTTGTATTTATCTTTTCAATCAGCTCCTGCAATGGTTGTAACCACTTTTCCTTTAATGTCTCAATCTCCTTGTTCATTGCTTCTAGTGTGACACTCTTTTTCTTAGTAAATTCAGTCAACTTTTGAATATTGTTTTGTATTTCTTCATATTCGCGGAGTATCTGAAAATGCAAAGGAAATATTCGATTTCTTCATCGTGCCAAACTTACAGAAAGATAATTATATTTCCCATTGTTATCCTTACATTCTCAGCATCCACGTTTTTCGCCATACAAAAGACTTTTGCTTGAGCGACATTTAATTCGTTATTTATTTCACCTATAGTGGCCGGTAATTTTTCAAAGGCTTTATTAAAAGCTTTAAATGCATCATCTTGTGGATTAAGATTATCTGTGGTTGCCTTTGCTTCGTTGTACAGTCTTTCAGCTTCCCTCTTTAAAGGTTGAAACTCTTCATCGTGTCGCTTAAATATTCTCTCCGCCTTTGCAAATTTTTCCTTTAATTCCTCGACATCATTCTCTTTGGTCATTAAAGTTTGTTTCAATAACGTTATTGCAAATTTGATCTCGACATTATTTGTGTTGGAATTGAAATACTCTTGTAAAACTGTGTTATAATTTTTATACTGTTGTACTTGTTTTTTTATAAGAGCCTGTAAATAATTTATTAAATATAAATGCAGATTTTGTTAAGTACAATTTTTTTTAAGATAGTACATGCTATGTTATTAAAAAAGAAAAAAATACCTTAATTTCTTTGGTATGTATTGCTTTTATATCTTCAATACTCATCCGATCCTTTTCCATCTGTTTAATTTTGTTAATAGCCATGTCTATTCTACTTCTTAAAGCTTGAATATGCTGAATATTTTGTTGATATTTATTCCTGCTGGCTTTATACTCGTATAATACTTTATTTTCTTCGCCTATCTTATCGTCTGTCTCTTTGATATGGATTGCGAGTTGACTCTTCTTTTCTTGCAAATTATGTAATCTATGAAATAATTAATATATTAATTAACTCTATAAGTTTTAATATTAAGTAATTTTAATATATTAATTCAGTATAATTTTTATGTTTTATTTAATTTAATTGATATACCGTTCTTGGAGATTTTGTAATTTAGATTTATCGAGGACAACAGATAACATTCCATTTCCCCTAACCCGTGATATTCTGGTCGAAGTTTCGCGCGTATACTTGGATGTACTCACAGAGTATATGTTGTTTTCTACAAAAAAATTTGATTTAACTTATAGAAAACTTCTTTCAAATTCGTGAAGTAACTTCAGGAAACATCCTCACCACTAAAGTAACGGTTTAAACAGGAAGGTATGGAATTTGTGTTATTTTCGATCTCAGTAGTCCCGACAGGAATATTGTGTAAATGGTACATCGAGACTAGATATTTCATTATGGCTGACGGTGCTTCAATAAGTTCTGTTAAATAATATTTAAAACCAAACTTCTCAATGCTTTCTATCGGTATATTCGGTTGCATCGAGATTCTTCTTGTCGAATCAGAATGCACCACATTGACCTGCAGCTTCTGTTGCTCCCTCAAATATTTCAGTAGCAGATTCATATCCCGTTTGTCCTCACACGTGAATGCGATTAAGTCCCGAAACGGTATTATGTTCTCTAAATATTTGGCATATGAAGCCTGTTTTACGTTAATATTGAGCAACATGGGCTGGTGAACCGTCGCTGAAAATTTGTCTCGATTCTCTCGTAACCACAGCACAGCTTTATATGCGTTTGTGTCTCTTTGCTTTAATATCTCTAAACGTTTGACGTCAATATTGAGAGTCTGGAGCTCCGCTTGCACAGCTGCAATCATAGTTTTAATTAGCATATTGAATAACAAATAAAGATAAGTAATTATTAGGTGTACAAATAAGTTTCCGCCGTTTTTTATCAAAAATTGGGCATCTATTGCGAAAGAACGGAACCTAATGTTTTACTCGAAGTATTATCCATCGCTTGCCACTACTTTTTCCCATCTTTCTGGCAGCATACGGATACCGCGTCGGCAGAATGCTTCATCTTTTGAGGCTATCCACGAATCGACCCAATTTTTCGTATCTTCATATGATGTGAAGTGTTGCTCAGACAGGCCATGCGCCATCGATCGAAACAAGTGGAAATCAGAAGCAATGTCTGGTGAATACGGCGGGGTAGAACTTCCCAACTGAGTGTTTCCAAATAGGTTTTGATCGGCCCGCAACACGTGGACGAGCATTATCATGCAGGAGAATAACTTTGTTGTATCTGGAGTAGCAGTGGGCGCGCTTTTCCTCGAGTGCTCGACTCAATCTCATCAATTGTGTTCGGTAGGCAGCCCCAGTAATGGTTTCGTTCGGTTTGAGCAACTCGTAATACACGACACCAAGCTGATCCCACCAAATACACAACAAGAGTTTTTTTTCCATGAATATTTGGCTCAGCTGTAGATGTTGAAGCATGGCCAGGTGGTCCCCATGATTTCTTCCTTTCTGGATTATCATAGTGGATCCATTTTTCATCACCAGTGACTATACGGTGCAGAAAACCCTTCCGTTTATGCCTGGCAAGCAGCATTTCACATGTGAAAAATCAACGTTTCTCGGTGTCAGTTCATATGGAACCCAATTTCCTTGTTTTTGAATCATTTCCAATGATTTCAACCAATGTGAAATTGCTTGTTGAGTCACTCCTAATGTAAGTGCAAATTCTTTTTGCGTTTGGCACGAATCTTGATCCAATAATGCTTCCAATTCCGCGTCTTCGTACACTTTCGGCCTTCCGCTACGTTCTTTGTCTTCGACGTCAAATTCACTGTTCTTAAACTTTTGAAACCACTCACGACAACTTCTCTCACTTAAGGCAGCCTCACCATATGCTTCTACAAGCAATCGATACGCCTCAGCTGCAGATTTCTTCAAATTGAAGAAGTAAATTAAAAGTTCCCGCAAATTACGCTTATTCGGCTCAAAACTCGACATTTTCGCGCACAAAAGAATATATTATACTGATGAAAAATCACTAATATTTTAAGATTAGGTTGTTGACTGATGTCCAACCTTACGATAATGACGTTTTACATCTGACAATTTTAACCATAACTTACTGGTGGCGCCAACTTTTTCAAACGGCGGAAACTTATTTGTACACCTAATAAAAATACAATATAATATGTATGTTTGTAAACATGTACCTCTCATTTCACGATCAATATTTTCATCATTGTGTTTCAAAGTGATATTTTTATTAGTGAGAATATTAATTTCTCTTTTACGTTCCTCCATATTAGTTGCTACAACTTGCACTTGCTTCATCAAACTTTCCTCTGAAATACGTGCCAAGTACTTTATTTATTATTGTGGGATGACAAATATAGTTCTATGTAAAAGTGGTCCAATAAACTAATATACACATTATTATTATTCATACGGTTAAATTGAATCTATCTACAAACCTGATCCAACCTCTTCAATTGTCAGCGAAAAGTCGTTTTCCAGCTTGCATTTTTGTTGTTCCGCACGTTTAATATCTTGCTCTCGACTTTCTTCCGATTGAATTTTACGAGAGCAAATTTCTTCCGTTTCTTTGATTTTGTTCTCGTAAGCAAGAATATCATTCAGTATATTTTTTAAGTTTGTGTTCTTAGCATGAACTTTATTATTCTGAAAGTACAATTTCAGACTGTCAGTACGTATCTATCAATTGAGCCAGTGAAAACAGAAAGAAGACGTGTGACACTGTGATTAAAATTGAGTTAACAATAGATCTTTGCTTTAACGTAAAACCAAAATAAAAAAAATTGTTTAACGATATTTTACTGTCTAGATCCCTCTTTTCAGGGCAAAGTAGTCTAAAACCTACTGAAAATTTATATTATACTTCTAAAACTGTTTTCTTTTTCTAGAAGATATGATTTTGTCATGTGTATCCTTTTCGTTCTAATCGACTCGATTAATCAATTGACAATAATTTTTTTTTAGTAACGTCTTTACTTTATGCGCTATACTCACATGATCATTTAACGCTGCTTTTAATGATTCCATATCAGATTTCATTTTGTCAATCTGTTTTTTTAACGGTTTCAGTTCTACATCTACCGATTGCATTTCTTTTACTGCTTGATCTCTGGTTTTCTTAGACTGTATAAACATATACAAAGGCATGAATAGTAAAAAAAAGTAACAATAAAGAAAAATATCACTCAATGGTTTACAAAACTAATTTTTTGTTTACCTCCACTAATATCCTTCGTGTTTCATCATACAATATCCATGCCTTTTTTTGCTTCAACGTTACAATCTTTTTCTTTATCAACTTTCTCTCTTTTATTGTCGCAACAGTTTGCTGTAGTCCATCACGCCTGTGAATTTTATATTCCAGTAATCGTTTTGAATCGGCTACATCAACCTCCAATTTCTTGAAATTAGCTCTTTGATCCTTCAATAGTAGGTGATACTCGAGGAGCTTCGGATCTCCGACAGATCTTTCTGTGTTTTCTAACAGCGCATGAGCATCCATTTTCGAGAAATCTTGTACTTTATCTTGCGGCAAAAACTGACAAAGATTATCAACCTGCGAAAATAATAAAATCATTAAGAGATAAAGTCTATTTAGAAACTATACAAGTATAAACCAGGACGATTCCATGTCCTAAGAGGTTGGTAGGTCTTTTCTGAAGCTAATGAGACAATACAAGTTTAAGAACTTATATACAATTAAATAACTGTTCAGTAAATAAAGGTACTCTAGTAAATTCAATCTAGAAGCTTCTTGAACAAAGAACTGAATATACAAGACAAACATATACCTGAATATCAAGCTTGGCCGTGAATTGCTGTATATTTTTCGAATTTGTCGACACGCCATTAAGCATCCATGTGGACTTGCCGTCTTTAGTGAACATTCTAGTCACCACGGAATCCTGTTTGAGGCCGTTTTTCAGATAAATTTCTATCTTCGCCGAATCCTTGCCATACTTGACGTACTCCCCTATGTGAAGGGCACGCCCAATGATATTCGGCCTGCCTCCTAGACCGAGAACTATAGCGGCGACTATGGTGGACTTGCCGGAGCCGTTAGGTCCAATGATAACATTGAGATATCTTCCAGGCTTCACTGATACCTTATCGTAAGTCCTGCAGACATTGAGATATCTTAGAAACATGTACAAACTTGTACATTACGCGACAAAAATGTTTGACCTGTGGGTACATTAAACGTTCACGATGCGTGGCAAGAGTTATTGTGATCTTACGCGGAATAAGAATTGATATATTCTCTACTCACACGAAATTCTCGAGATGTATACGGGTGATGATACCCTTCTCCGTGCCGTCGCTCATCTTGAATAGGTTAGGTCTCAACAACGAGGTGTTTGTACGCGACGTATGCACGCGAAGGATGCGCGTTATGAACACGCCGATAAACGAAGCACGCCGATAACAATGGAAGCGTTAGCTAACAATAAGCGTAAAGTCCGTAAGCGCGAGATAATCCATTTTTCTCGTCACCCATTTTACAACACCGCTGCGTTTGTACGTACGGAAGTGCCGCCAATATCGTTAAACGAAGCCAGAGACACCTGGGGCTCGACTCTTGAACTCCTTCGAAAGAGAAACTTGTACGAAAATTCTGCTCCTGCAGAAAACCTGCGAATCGACTGGCTGTTCGCGTCAGTTTGTATGGCTTTTAGCCAATCAACTCACAACTTTTCCGTAAGAACAGGATTTGCGCATTTTTGTATTGGAATTTTTGTCTTGAAATTTTCTAAAGAATCTGCGATTAAAAGGATATGCAGTGGTTTTAGTGCACCGTGTATCTATTGATCTTCCTTTAGTTTTCAAGCTATGTAATTTCGTGTATCAAGATATACAAAAAATATTTTAAAAGAGCATATTAATAAGCTACATCTTTTATAGCTTATATTTGTATACATGGCTTCACAAACTATGTTGCAACTTTAAATGTTTCGATCCACGTCACCATATTAATTTTATTAGCGATGATTAATAACTTAAAGTTACGTAGATATATATCTCGACTTTTTTTTCTAGACGGACGTTCAAGGACTCCGCATAAACACCACGTGCTGCATTTTGCACGAGTATAAATGCTTTTTGTTATATATCGCAGTACGATTATTATCTTTTGCAGTATAAAGGCAAGCAATAAAATATGCTATTTTATGAAGCGTTGTATGCGGACACGTAAAAATGTTTAAAGCATGTCCCAAGATAAACGCGCCGAGCCAAACAGAATTACGTGAAACGTTCGCAAAAATTTTGCGCATAAATCCTTCATTGTATGGAAAATATCCGTACACAGATACACATAATAGCGTATATGATGAATATTTATTTATGCTGAGTAACTTTCAAATCTTAATGGAGCGTGCTTTCAAATAAATCCGCTTAGTGCGGCCGTGTCTTTATACTTTGCAAACTGCGGAACAATTGTCGCAAGCATTACACGAATGCGTGTACAAAAAAAGCCCAAAAGGCGATTATCTTCGCGCGTTTTTTTACACTTGCACATCGGATAACTAAAAATCAAGTAATTATCCGCGTAACAAGACATCTTAACGTTCATATTAATAACGTTTGTTACTTTAATCTTTAATAATTCAATTACTGCGTCTATTTCCGTTCATCTTCTGGATTTTAGATAAAACGGAAATATATAAAAGTAAAAGAAGGCGTCTAAGTAATCCATAAAAAATAATATAAAAGACAGTCAACTACAAAGCACCAAAATAAAGTATAAAATAAATGTATCTGGTTCTATGATTACCTTTGATCTGAAAGAAATGCCTCTTCTTTCATCTACGAATTCTTTGATCGTCTCGAGGATTTCGTCAAGTAAAATCACCTCTTAATTGATCAAAGAAGTGAAAGGACATCGTACGGTGAACTTGGAATATCTTGCGCGTACAATTAGAATACGCCGGCGATTTTTGCGACTAATCCTCTTTAATTGATTAGTCCCGTCTAATACTCGGATTGAAAAATATATTTTTTAAATTTCCAATTTATTTTCGTTTATCTTCGTTTCGCGCGTGCGCACGTGCACATGACCTTCCGTCGAAAAAAGTACGGATGTCATCGTATCAACAGCGGACTTAATGTTTGACTTTCAAACAACGCGGAAACAACTCGAGCTCCCTGGCGGTGAGTTTGCATTTCGCGCTTCGTTTATCAACGATAATTTGATGAGGTTTCATGGAGACGTAACGCGGTCAACGCATTATCATAATGACAGCGTACTTCGCCGCCTCAACCCCCCGTTCATTGTCGCTAAAGTACAAAAACCATCTTGGAGTAAATTGTTACCTACCGACAATGCCATACCTGTTAACAATTTCATCAGTCAGGGGAATATATCGATTAATTCTAATCTAGATAATAGCATTGTCCTTGCGTCATAAGTCGGTTTATCAACATTACATTTGTTACGCATACGCCTTTCACGCTATCAGTGTTTTTCGAAAGGCGCGCGGCGGAATAATTTAATACGTAATATCATGTATAATACAATTGTGTATAATTTATTACAACTCGCGAAAATGATTTGTAATTCACGAGCGGCGCGGACTGAAAGGTAAATGTCGATGGCAATGCGCTTTCGAACGAAATAAGAAATGCGCGTCGGCATTTTTACACGCAACCAATGAGCGAATAAAATAACTAAAGATGCCAGTCTTGAACGGATGAGCAATCAGAGTGCGGTATTTGACAAGCGGTCGTTATTTTGACGGATCTTGGAGAGCTATTAATCTACTGCGCGGGTACTGCGCAGCTGATGCTTCCTGCCTCGTGTGTGCACACGATTCGCCTTGCCCGCGACCTAGATGTGCAAGATGACGGGTCGTACACGCAGCAATTACACATCATTACTTTATGCGCTGCATCCCAGGGGTGACCAGGTGCCGATCGAAGAAACACCATGGTTACTTCACGGCTAACAAATGGTCCTATCTCGCCAACTGCTCGCAGTTTTAGACTTGAAGTCGCCGGGCTTGGTACGACGAGGAGGGTCCCCGGTGTTCACCGCGGCGAGGACGAGCCCCGTGCGCTCGCGACCGCGCTCGCGTCGATGCCAAAGTGCGCCGATAATGCGATTAATAATTTTCAGAATGCAATCCACGATCTAGGTCGTTACTCTCCCATGACGGCCCGCTGATCATGTTCGCTCCGTCGCCCAAGTTGGAAGGACAAGCCAAGGGCAAAGTGCGGAAAAAATGGAGGCCGTTCCGCGCGACGGACTTCCAGGCCTTGATGTATCCCTGTTTCATTTTATGTCGCGCACTCGGATTATTCCCGTACAAGATCAGCGCTTCGACCTTCGAGATTTCCAAGCCGTGGTACATCGTGTCGACCGTCATCGTAAGCGCCGTCAGCGCTGGCGGGCTGGTGATACTCTACCACGTCGACGTCTCCGCGAGAATCAAGTTCGCGGGCGTGCCCGGGGCCCTACAGTGTAACTGCTATTACGTACTCGGTGGCTTCATAGCGGTGATCACGTACATCTTGAGCAAACCGCGGATGCATTTGCTACAGATCACGCTGGACATCTCTACCAGGCTGCCTCCGGAAACGTACCAGAGAATGTCCAGGCTGATCCACGCCAAGGACATCTTGGGTTTCCTCTTCCTAATTGGGCAGGCGTCGAATTGCTACTCCGACACGTACAGCGATACCATCGTTAATGTTATAACTCTGTACATCACTCTGGTGGTGTTTCAGATGGATATGCTGTACATGAATTGCGTTTGCGTACTGAAGGCCTGTTTCAAGCGAATCAACAACAATCTGATAAATCTGCGAGAGCTCGTAATAAGCGACGAGCCGCATCTCCTAAGGCGGGTCTACCACGAGCAGAGGAATCCGTTTCTGCTGATGGAGCTCAAGGCCCTGAAGAAACGGCACCTAATAGTCAGCGACACCGTGCAGACCCTCAACACGATCTTCAGTCTGCAACTTCTCGCCACCATAGTCATGACTTTCGCCGAGGTTACCTTCAGCTTGTATTTCTACATAGCACAGTGGCAACAGAACGTATTCTTTATCGATCTGCAGAAACAGATCTGGTATGCGTACTATATCACGTCCATAGCGTATTATTCTATCAAAATAGCGTTTGTGGTGTGGGCCTGCGACACCGGCAAGGATCAGGCCCTGCAGATCGGCACCACTGTTCACGACGTGCTCATCAACACCAGCGATAAGCAGATCAAAGATGAGGTAGTAAAAAATGTAGTAATTTAATTAATCAATCACTTACTCAACCCTTTGAAGTATACACTTTTCTTTCAGCCGATTTTTCTGGAACCTAATTCCAGGGAACTTCAGGGTTTTTTGGATCGCTGATTACAATTCAAATGTAGATTTTCAGGCGCCATGTTGGATCCCGCCGTTATACGCTTTGTAAATCTGATCTTGTATGTGTAATCAGCAACCAGAAAAACTTCCGGGTACTGGGTTCCAGATAAATCGATTGCATTTCTTGCAATTTTGACTCTTCATATTGGATCCGCCATCTTGGATTTTCCAAGTTTCAAATTAGAAGTCAGTGGTCTCGAAAACTCCCAGATGCCTAATTTCGGAATGTTGTTTATAGGAATAATTTTTTGACTGCACAGGATATCTTATAGAAAGCAAAATTTTTTAATTAAAACTTTAAACTACTACATCGAGTCAATCGATAATTTTAGAATTTCGACTTCAGATTCAGAATTAGCGAACAAAAAACTTTCTAGATATAAAATAGCAAAAACATCGGAGTGAAAGATGTGTTGGTCTTTTTAATTTCTGGAGGTGTAACCAGGGTTGGGAAGTAACTCGTTACTTGTAACGAAGTTACAGTTTTTTTCTGGTAACTTGAACTTAACTTCATTACTTTCTCTCCACCTGTAACTGTAACTTAACTCAGTTACATTTTTTCGATAACTAGTAACTAATTTAATAGTTACACTAATTTAATAGTTACTTTGTATATATTTTAAACCTCCACTTCGCATTAGGCCTTGCATTTGCGCATAAACGCCTTTATCGGCACTTCACAATTCAAATGCAGATTTGATACTTTTATATTCATCGCAGGACAGTAACTGCAAAGTTATAATTTGTTACTTTTTAAGGGGATGCTGGAGTGGTTTGATTTACCGACAGAGTCGCATACAGTTTTTGCCTTTGTAAATCTTACTATTGGCATTTATGTACAAAATAATTCCAGACCGGATTGTGGATTGCATAGTAAAATATTTTCATATAAAAAACATTGAGTTTTGAAATCTAATTTGTATTTCGCATTATGTATTTGAAATTTTGAAATACATATATGTTACATCGTGCTTCAAAGGGTTAATAGTAATGTTAATTGATGAAAATGTTTGGTGTGACATTTTTCTATACGTCGACTCTACCAGCGAGTTATTCTGACGTTGCAGTTGCAACTGTTTTCCTTGCAAATATTGCATCGCGAAAATACATTCTGCGCGAAAGGTCTCGCCGTGGACGCGACGCTTCTTACCGCGGTAAGTATTCCATTATTTGTCTTAATTAACCACACACAGATACATGTCGTTCACTTTGTGATTTTGCTTGTAGATAGTGGGTAGCATCACCACGTACCTATTAATTTTGATACAATTCATGGTCACGACGAAATCTTGCGAAAAGTCATCCAATATTACGCAAATAGTTTAATCATATACATACGTGTACAATAAAATGTACGCTACCGAGTTTTTAATTATTCGAATGACAGATACCTCTTTATACTTTATTCTAATATCCCATACTATTGTTAGTGCAGATAATGCTTCGTTAGAATGATTAACAGTTTTTAGTATATTGCTTGTAATTGTACGTACGAGTATATTAAATTTAAATTATAGAAACGTTCATCGAATGTTTAATTATCCTTAAGACACTATTATATTATTATTTTCTTCATTAAAATTTGTTTCTTTTAAACAAAGAAGATATATGGTAGAGTTTACGAGAGACATGGAATACAATATCAGCAGAAACAATAACGAAATTAGTTGAACAAATACAAAAAGTTTGTAATCAAGGCAAAGCGTGCACGTTTTGAATATTATTTAAATAAGAATTAATAATATTTCTTTAATTAATCTCTTAATTAGATATTATGTTATAGCGTATTGTTAGTCTATAAGCTTATTGTAAAATAGTTTTTATCAATAAATAACAGTTCACTCACACTAACTCTATTTTTTTAGTTCTTCAAATCGTTTGACTAATTATGATTGATAGTGTCATAATTAAATAAAAAGATATTGCAAGTAGAAATCGCCTGATATTTTATAGGTATACATGTGTGCAGAGACACTTGGAAAGATTTTGTCATGTAAAAATGAACTATCCAAATAGAAAATTTTTAAATAAGTTCTAGTTGTTTAAGTGCAGCGTGTAAGACACAATAAAACATTTTTGGAAAAATGTCGCTTTGGATTCAATACACACATCATATGGTTACTTTTACAGTACGGATATATATTATTGTATAGTATAATTATATAAATTATTAATTATACATAATTATATGTAATTTGATATAATTTTGTATAATTTGATCTATAATACATTTTTTCTCGGGATGCAATCTAATTAATCCCTTAATTTTTCTCGCATTAGAATTGATAATTCAGTAATGTGGTGCGAAAATAATATTTAATTATTGAGAATTCATTTTTTTCAGACATGTAAAAATATAACGTTGAAAGTTTTATTTCCGACGACGTTTCATATCGTACATTCTACGACGCCTAGCAGCAGTTCAGTAACACAGATATGAATAAAAGAGCAATTAAATTTTCGTTTCATTGACGCCACATGGACGGCGATATCAGCACGGAAATTCAACGATAAATGCAATCTTCGAGGTCTAAAATTACATCTCGACACTCCGTGCTACAGAAGAATGGATTGCGCTGCAGGCTGCAACGTATGCGAGTAATTTTTAGACATTTTCTTCGCGGAGTCTTCGTTCTTATCGTCGGGCGACCCACGAAAGTAACATTTGACCCCGCCTGTCACTCCGCTAATGTCAAATAAATCGTAAATTCGTAATTTCGCTTGTCCTTGAACCCTTTATACACCGTAAGCGTTTATTTTGTATTTTAAGGCAATAAAGATTTATCGCTTTGTCGATTCGACGTTTCGTTATCTGGCGTTTGTAAGAAGGAAAGAACATACCGCCTTCAACATCTTCGTCAACGACGGGTAATCAAAATAGACATTTGAACGTTAAAATGAGCTCATGGAGACGCGAGTGGAGCAAAAAATTATTTATCATGGGTTATTGCAGGTGCGATAATAAAAAGCATCTGTAGCGTCACGTCTGCAGCGGTCTGTATTGTTTAATAGCGATTCCGACGATAGAGACACCGGCGCCGGCGACGGCGGCCTCGAAACTGAGTTTTCATTCAGTGCGGAGACATGTGGGGTGTAGGCGCAATCTATTGTCGTCAAGGTTAACGCTCTACTGCGCGATAATATATCCGCATATAGTCGCAAAGGTTAATTTGGACTAAAAGGCTAAATGCGTTAATGATTTCAATCGGACTTTAATGCCGCGACGCCGAGGTGCGGGTCACGGCAAGCGGACGACATATTGTTTATCGCACGCACGAGAACCGCGCAAGCGTTGAGGAGGGAATTTCCTGCGGAACATTTTATTTCTTTTTTTACTCCCTTTTACCGCTTACTGCCGTACTCTCCTTTTGTTTCATTCGCGGTCCAGAAACAAAATCGAACAAATTAAGCATCAATGAATAAGTCGAGTAAGGTTGATGGTAGAGAACAATCCGTAAGGCAAGGCAGAGAAAAACTTGAGTCGTATACAAGAGACTTTCATGATTTTATTCTTCTCCGCTTTATCTACGAAAGTCTTAAGCGTTTACGAATCGTTTTCTGCCATTAGCCTTAAGCCTTGTGCCCACGAGCCAAGAACTGTGTCCAAGTTCTAGTTCCGAGAAATGTGTAGCCAATCAACTTTTCTGTAAAAGATGCAAGTTGATTGGCTACAATTTCTTGGGACTAGGACTTGGACACAGTTTTTGGATCGTGGACACAAGGCTCAAGAACTGTGTCCAAGTTCCGAGAAATGTGTAGCTAATCAACTTGCATCTTTTACGGAAAACTTGATTTGTTACACATTTCTCGGAACTAGAACTTGGACACAGTTCTTGAACCGTGGACACAAGTCTCTGCCTTGCCTTACACTACGACTAAAACAGTCTTAACGTTTAGGGATCGTCCTCTGCCATCAATTATTTCGGCACCACGTGCAATTCATCTTGAACTGGACATCGGTCCAGACGAATATATTATGTTTCGGCGGGAACTGAATGAGGCTGCAATTATGCAACAGCATGTTGATGCAAATGGGCTCCGCAGATGACGCGTGTAAAAACTGAAATGTCAACAGACCAGATAGAGTCAAATGGCTAATAGCGAAATGCAGGAAGTTTTCGTTAACGCCGCATTATATAACGCAGTGACAAATAAACCGGACGGAACCGTCTTTCCTCCGACGTTTTAGTACAACCAGTGGCCCATCGTTGTTATTATTATAAATTTCCTATTAATTACTCGAGCTGTTTATTACTTGCGCGTATTACTAAGAAACGAGAAGGTGAGTCAGCGCTGCGTAACAGCGCTATTTATATAAAATGTCCTGAGCTAACTTGTGACTTTTAATTGACAGAAAGAGGTGAACTCGCGATAAACGATAGCTTCTCCCGATCTCCTCGCTAAAGAAAGACCGATTCCAATTTCGTCGAAGACTTCATCGAAGAAATAACTCGCTCAATCAGGGACAGTGCGCCGTATATGTGTCAACTATGACAGCACGTGTTGCGCGGCAGCGCACATGACGTGTATCTAGTGCGAGAGGCTGCATCTACGCGATAATTGCATACGTAGTGACCGTCCGAGAAACGCGATCTTACGCGTCAGCGTGCGCACCTGCCGTGATCCTTTCAGATAGCCCGGAATTCCAAGCTTTTGTCTAATTCTGGCAGCGGGGGAAAGAGGTCAACGAGAGAGGAACCCTAACAACTGATGATACACGAAGAATTTTAAGAAAAAATTCTTACAAACATGGCGAACCAATCAGAAGCTGGGTACCGCATGTCCAGATTCTGATTAGAGGGTCTCTAAACCGACGTAGACACCCTGTAATCAGAGATTGGGAGAGATGCGATTCTACGATTCTGCGATCGTAGAAGAGTGAGATAGCCTATGTTTCTCTCTCACTCGCGGGAATTTAACGAACTTTTATGGCCAGTCTCTGATTACAGAGTCTCTAAAGCTAAGACTCCACAGACTACGTTTCTACCGAGGGTCAGAGTCGGGCTAGAGTCGGGTCAGAATCGGGTTGGGGTTTGGTGTTTTGGTGTTTCCACCGCAAGAGCGCTCACCCCAACCCGATTCTGACCCGACTCTGACCCTCGGTGGAAACGTAGTCCATAATAGACTACGTTTCTTACCAAGGGTCAGAGTCGGGCTAGAGTCGGGTCAGAATAGGGTCAGAATCGGGTTGGGGTGAGCGCTCTTGCGGTGGAAACACCAAACCCCAACCCGATTCTGACCCGACTCTAGCTCGACTCTGACCCTCGGTGGAAACGTGGTCATAAGCTGCGTTCGGCATTGCAAACGCAAGGCGTCGGAGTGCTCCTCCTCCCTGTCTATCTCATTCTCCTCTCTCGCTCACTCGAATGCGAAAGAGCACTCCGACGCCTCGGATTTACAATGCCGAACGCAGCTATAGATGAGGCAACGCATGCGGCAATGCGAGTCGACCAATCAGAAGCTTGCCGCAGGCTTCCTGCGTTGAAATTAAAATTTTTCCATTTGTTGCCGCACGTGTTGCCGCAGTTCAACGCGTTTATGGAGTCTCAGCTTAAACCGACGATGTCTAGTCGGAAATAAACTCTGATCACCGTATAGCGATGGACAGAATGGTTTGAACAGGAACGTGCATTTAGAGCCGGGGTTACGCTTCAAAATTTTCTTTTCCGAGGAATATTTTACTCGATGGCTATTCCGAAGCCATCTTGAGCACTTCCAATCTATTTCTCGAGTAAACATTTCCTCGCGAAAAATGTTTCGTAGCATAAACCTGACTCTAAATGCGCGTTCCTAGACTAATTTAAAAAACAAAGTGTTGCAACCATTCTGTCCATCACTGTATGTACACGTGCTGTCAGAGAATGGCGGGCGAAGCATCGCGCGGCGCGGCGCGCGCGTACGAACGATCACGCGATTTCGCGCCTTTCGCGATTGCGTCCCATCGCAGCGGCGGCGGCTCTGACCGATACGCAATTGTCAGTGCCGCGCCGACCGCCGCGCCGAGTGAACGTTAAGGGAGCGTCGCTTTTGCGCGCATCGCGAGAGTACGAGGCCGCGCCGCGCTCTCAAATCGGAGGCCGCCGAATTCGGGGAACGGCAGCTGCGGCAGATCCTTTCTCTCGTCCGAGCGACGTCGTGGTTCTTTGATGCGAGTGACAGCGGGCCAAAGTGCTCCGAGGAAACGGAGACGTCTGATAAAACGAAAAGAGAGGAGCGTTTGAAGCGCGTAGTGGCGAAATCAACGGCACGCGCACGCGGACGAGTGCGCGATCTTTGACACCCGCCAGTGGACAGTTCGAGGCCTCGCGGGCTCGCACACGCGCTACGATTTTTGAATAAAGTGCGGAAGAGGCGGTCGAGCGCACGCCACGCGAGGTTCGGCGGATGCGAGTTCGGCCAGGTGATCAATGCAAAAACGCGGCCTTGCCCGTATATCACCGATGCCGCCGCGTCGCGGCTTGCCTTCGCACCCACGGTAGCGAGTCACGGCGACGAGATCTAGGATCGGAGCGAGCGGCACGCGTAATCGGCGCGCAAGTGGGATGCAGCGATTTTAATTCCCGCGCGTGAGAGAGCGCCGTGCACCGATCTACGTCGCGGCTGCGCTTGGAGAGGCGCAAGGGCGCCTCTTGAGACCGATTCCCGTTCGACCAAGTAAGTCACCGGCATCGCTTTCGCCTCGCACGAGTCGCGAGGTTTCCCACAGCCACGACCCGACCGATTCCCGTTGCGACGCTTGCCTTTGCGCGTTTAACCGGGGATGCGTTTCTTCGACGCAAAACTTGCAAAAATATTATAAAACTTTGGCGATAGAAGGTGTCCCGAGGGGGAAACCGCTGAGGGCATTGTGGTGTACAGATCTGCGACATTACTGGGTTTTTTTGGGCATTAGTTTGGGCATTAGGCCTTGCTGAGGCATTAGAAAGATAAAATAGGATGAAATAAGATAAAACAAGCTAAATAAGATTAAACAAGATAATAAGATAAAGTAATGCCCACTGGGCATCAGTTTGGTGTATGAGATTTTGGTCAACGGTTTCCCCCTCGAGGTGTTCCGATGCACAAACTATCTTTTTCTTGTTCTTGCTGAATTTACTCTGAAGAGGTGAAACCCCTGGAAGTCAAATCTCGCTCTTCAACATGTTGATTTATTTACGCTTTGATGTTTGCATAATTTTATATATGTAAATAAAACGAAGCAAAACATGTATTCGTGCATCATAAAATGTTCTAATGAAAACATGTTAAGAATATAAACATGTATTTCTCCTGTTTTGATTATTTATTTTACGCAATGTATTTAGTTTTTCCTCTAAAAGTTTGTTCTGCTTCTCTTTATTGATGAATAATAAAACAAAAGTGAAAAATGAGTTAACTTCTACGGATTGATAAAGTTTCTTATTTTTTTTTCCGAGAGAGGAGCCTTCCATTGTAAGCCGATATCCAAGAGGTCAAGTTATTGTTCGGGTACTTTGCCTAGTTAAATTTTCAAAGTCAACTGCGTACGAAACTTTTTCAGTTGTTGTTTTTTTACGCAGGAGACAGTAATTAAAACTTATCTACCTTAATGAGTCCTCAATTACCGGACGCTTAGAAAGGTTTCAGTCATTGTTAATGTTTATCTCTCGGTAATTATCTATTCCTACGCACAAGTTAACAATTTCAAAGTGGCTACTTATTATTTGCGTGTGCTCGACTAATTATATTGTTAAGTAAATTTACCTTAAACCTTGCATTTCGGGCAACTGCGCTTTCGCTTGTAAAATAATATTCCGAGATGACTCCCTTATATTTAAAAGTCGCTATTATTAAGAAACCAACGACACGGACAATGAAACGGAAGATTGGGTTCGTGCTATATTTACGTCGGCGCGACTCTTGTATCACCAATCCTAATCGAGACGACGTGCCAAGAAATGTGGGTAAAGCATTTGGCGCACTTTGCGGAATTGTTAGGGCACTGTCTCTCGTCATAAATAAATGCGTGACTCGTCTAACTCGTATAGAAGTCACGACGATCGCCCGCGGTAATTTATGGGAAATTTTATGTCTCGCTTTCAGCAAAAATTCATTATTACGGGACCATTACATAAATCACATTTCTATGACTCTCGCGAAAAAGACACTTGAATCGACTTGAAAATAATCTATTCTTGGTAAGCCGGAGAAGAAATAACGATACCAACTCGATACAGGCAACACATATTAGCTCAGATCGAGGAAGCGCTGACTAATGCCCAATAATGGGTCTAATGCCCAAACTAATGCCCAAAAAATGTCTAGTAATGTCTACACGAAGGAATGTTTTCTTAAGATTTACTCTGAAAATCGTGGGACAACATGGTACTTTGAAGAACTCTATAAGGGTTTCCTAAATTTCGCTATACACTTTACTAATAAAATGTATAGAGGAAAGTCCCCTATTCTGAGATAGTCCTCCTAATATTAGTTTCCGCTAAATTAATAGGCGTCATCTGTTGGTTCCATCATGAATTTATTGCCCTTGGAGCGAAATCTGTTTAGTGGAAAATTCATTGTTAGATCGTGGGAGCGTTGCGAAAAAAAGTTTTGCGATTGAATTTGAATGTTGGAAACCTGCTATCTCGTATTAGAATTCTATCTTATAATAGAGGACTTTTCTCTACTGAGTTTAATTACTGTTCTTCGAAGCGCCACGTTGTCCTACGATTGCACGATTCTCTGGATAAAGTTTTAAGGGAAATACTCTTTGTGTAGCCCAGTAATGCCGCAAATCTGTGCACCACGATGCTCTCAACGGTTTACCTCTCGGCCCAGACGGTATAAAGCGAAAGCAAATAAATCAAGACGCCCGGTGCAAATGGAATCAACAATTAATTATTAATGGAATAAACAATTGATAATAAAAAAAATCGGATCGCCGCGGAAAAGTCTAATTGAGGTTTCAAGCGGCGGAAGTCAGTGAACTTTTTGCCGAGTATACGTGACGCGCGATAGACGTGACGTTTCCGTTAGACGCGCTCGAGCGCGCAATAGCGTCTTTGAGTTATTACACGGTGTTAGCAGAGACTAACGAGAATTTATGAACGCGACAATGAGTCGTCTAGTCTTGTCGACAATACGCGGCGAGTGTTTCTCGTACCATTGACTCCAGCCGCATTCCTCTACATAAAATTGCTCTCTCTCTCGAGAGTTGATCGCTTTGTCCACCTCTCCGCTCGTTAATGCCGCTCTCGAGAGAAATGTAATTTCTTCGCCCGCTGTACACAGTAAAAAATACAATGTTAATTTCACACGTGTCCCAAAGAGTCCATTCTAAATTGCAAGTTCAAATAACAGTCACCGCGTGTGTTACTGTTTGACAAATAATAAATGTTAATTAATTAACAGTATACTTCACATTACGTTCTTTTAACCATAAGTGTGATGTAATGAAAACAGACAGGACAAGTAAACTGTAGGAATAGTTACAAATTAAAATTTTAAGAAAGTCGATGTTACATGTTTTGGTCGATCTTGTAAAATAGTTGTGTTAAAAGAACTCCAAGTAATATTCCATTTTTAAATGACGTACATAAAGTGTCAAGTTATTATGTTAATTTTACATTGAAATAATAATCAAGTCTTGGTAACCCAAGAAAATTTTTACGTTTCAACACACGATCTTTTACTGTGTACACATCGCCCTTGATGCTGTAATTAAATTCTAACAATCGGCCGTCGAGCTTTCTCCCACCTCGCGCAATACCGTGTCGCTGGAGAAATTAAAGTGAAAAAGAAAGGAAAGGCGTTGCGCGCTCGTCGTTTTTAATTGTCTCAACCGATTATTTTTCCTCGCGCGGCTCTAATTCTCTCTCCAAGTAGAAAAGTCAAGCGTCACGGGCGACGTCAATCATTATTTGCTCGCGCTCATTGCTCGATTCGTGTTTATCATCGCGCAGACCCGACGTGACGTGCATAGCGCCGTGACGGACGCGAAGTGCATTGAAAACGCTCGCCGAAGACGGATTGAGTCAACTTGTGCTAATATTGTCGTTCGATAAATTCGGCGCGAACAAACAGCCGGCGATGCGCTCGATTATCATCGTGACGAAACGTACGTGCACATACGACGGGGTATTTTAATTCTCATTCCAAGGTTGCGTCCAATCTATACGGCGGCGCCGTCGAAGCAGTCATTGTAGAAGCTGTTTGAATGAAAGGTGTAAATTCGCGCCCGCGCGCCGCGTTTCGACTACGCGCGCTCGACGAATCGTCGCCGGCGGGCGGCAAATACGTCATTTTACAAATTGATTCTACATACCCGACGCGTACGAGTACACGTACGCACGTACGCATACGTCAAGGTAGATCGTATTATATGTTACCGTTCATCATTCGCCCGTCGCGTTTATTATCTATCGCGCGGCGGCACGTGCGCTATAAGAGCGCGATGATTAGCAATGTGCCAGGGAGCGATGTGTTGCCCATCCTCCTACGCGCGGTCTCCTCCTCTTCCCCCGTTGGACCGAAATATATAATTCATCTTGCGAGTCTAACGACTTGTGAGCCTGCTGTAATCTATACTCCGCGAACATCTACGCACGAGTTCTGTTACCTGATAAGGACCTGATACTTGGGTCAAAATGTATTGAAACTTTTGCACAAATAACCAGAGTTGGGAAAGTCAGGTACTTTATAAAAGTATCTAGTTGCAGTTTCTTTACTAAAAATGTAACTAGTTACAGTTACAAGTTACCATTACAAGTTACATTCGTAAATGGTTACATTGAGCGTGCGAGGAAAGAAGATGAATTAATGTGACATTTAGTTAATTATAGAGAAAGGAATAGTTTAATCTTAAATGAAAAATTCTAAAATCTAGAAAAAAAAATAATAGTAGGTATGTAACGTCCTTTGTCGAATATCGCGGTGGCAACTTCGTGCGTCGTAAGGTGGAGGGAAAATGTATTCTAAACGCAAGAATATCTAAACTTACATTTATACAAGTTACTGTTATCTCAATATAGTAAGTCAATCTTTTTTAATTCGCTAGAGGAGAATAAGAATTATTGATTTTATTTTGATAGTCTTATTTTTTCACTAAATGAGGCTGTGAGAAATATAAATGCGTCAAGAGTATTTGTTCTCCGATACTCCCTCGATTCATTTTATCGGCGATGTTTTTCGGCGGTCGAACCAAAGAGTTACGACACGCTACACAATTTCGTACGCCTCGAATACACGATTTATCTGTGAAGCTTGCGCGTGGCGAACGCGAGAATTGGTTTCCAAAGTTAAAATCAACGTGATAATTGCGCTCGTACGGCTACGCGGCGAGGAGTCGCGAAAACACGAAATTGTCTAGGCACACGAGGGCAGATCAGGAATGCGGATCTGCTGTTTTAACCGAAAATAGCGACGGTCCGCCTCTCTCGTTCTTCGTTTTTACGGCCGATCTCGGCCGAGACCCGCTCTCCGATCGCTCGACCTTGCCCGTGATAGCCGTTATTGTGATTCCAGTCGATCGGAACCGGCGTCGAACGGACGCGACAGCTCACTCGGGACAAGACGTCGTAATTTTACGCCTTTGTTAGAATGAATGACTGATTCACTCTTCGCGAGGTCATTTCGCGTACCGCGCGCGTCACGTGCTTATTTAGATAATATACTTATTAACTTGCAAGTTAGAATTT